TTCTATACTGTGCGTCAAAATAAAAAGCATACAGACCTTATCTTCTGGCACAGATTTGTTTTAGGATTTTTACAGAACTTGCACTCTCCACACTGGGGGATGTATAGAGGGATAACAGTGTCCCCTAAGGAAAAGAAAAAAAAAAATACCCTGTGGCTAATGATCAAGTCAAGCAAGGCAGTAGGAAAAAATGAAGTTACTACGTTTTCATGGCTTTTATGTGGCCTTGTGTTCACTTAAAACCTTCACGTATCAAGAACCGTATATGGTACACAGTAGCATTGTTTATAGAGAGTGTTAGATAAAACACTTTTCTCACATCTGAACAGACACTGAGCAGAAGTTCATCATTCCAGAACAAATAGGAATGTTACTGTAAAACAAAACAATCCCAGAACTACAGTGAGTGACATGATTAATCATTTTTAAAGCCTTTAATGAAACCAAGAGGAAACAACAACAAAAGAACACAAACCAAAACCTCTTCTAACTATATTCATCTAATTTCAAGTAAGAGATTGGTATGGTGGGCTCTTTCAAGCATTAAACCAAGAGCACGTTGAATAGAGCTGTGTTGTATCTCACAGACGAGAGAAATGTACGCAGGCATACACACCAGAATAAGACAATAGAACTCCTGCAGTATAGCACTTCAGTGGCCCAATTTGACAGCTGACCTTGTAGTAAGGAAACACTTTTGAAGAAGGCAGACAACTTGTAAGGTATTTTCTTACCTGCCTTCACTTTTGTTACTCCTTCCCCAACACTCTCCACAATTCCTGCTCCTTCGTGACCCAAGATCACAGGGAAACATCCTTCAGGATCAGCACCACTCAGAGTATAGGCATCAGTGTGACAGACAGCAGTGGCAACTATCTGTGAAGAAATACATAATCTGAGGCCAACGTGAAGAACAGAATAGTAGCACAGATCTAAGTATTTCCCTTTGGTCAGGAATTCAGGACACATTTGCCAGTCTTGGCAGCGTTTGTGTTGTGGTCAACATACTTTCACTCCGAGCAAGGCACAAGAGTGCCAAGGCAAGGCACTCTTCTTACTTTGAAAAAGTAGAGTCATGATAGCACATCTTTTCTCATTTCCACCAACTAAATTCTGACGTTGAAATTGGTAGAAGATGACATCTGGTTTCCTAAAAGCTAGAAATCAGAACCTGGAGTCATCTCGAAGTAGGCTGTCGTCTCACATTTGAAGTTAGTCTCTCAAAGGTAAAATGACCAGCGAGACCATAGAGAACTCTCAGTACTGCATAAATCCAGTCTAAGTCCTAAACACCATGCAGAGACCCTTTCCACAGAGGTAATTTTCACTTTAATGTGTGCCTTTGAGCAGATATGGGACCCTGGAAAATCCTGATCAAACCAGAAGCTTGGGCATGGGGAATCCAGGAGACCAAATCACAGCTCAGCAGCCAGTAACTTGAAGGCCTGACTGAAGGAAAATGCAGCATGTTAGAAAGCTGCAGCAGGTCACAAGCTGATGCCCTTCAATCAAGGTCACATGCCTTCCTGGCTCAGATGTTTTGTGGGAGCTCAGTCCGTAACAGCTGGAATTGATCCCCAAGACCAGCCACGATCATTAAGACCAGACTGTGAAGTGACACCCGCAGAAATGCAGTGTTTTTCATAAACATAACAGATAAATACCATAATTTCCTTCTTTGTAAAGCCAGCTGAGATGCGAGTTTACTAATTCTATCCATTCAACATTTCTTCTGTTGGTAAACAAACGGTTCGGCTTTAATACATGGTCTGCCAAAATACAGTGCATACAGCTAGCAGCTGTTATCATTACCTTGATACGAACTTCATGAGCTTTTGGTGGAGCAACCTCCACTTCCTCAAGAGACAGAGGTTTACCTGCCTCCCAGGCAACAGCAGCTTTGCATTTAATAACCTAAAAGACAACAAGAGGACATCTGTTGTATGGTTCATTTAAAATAATTCTTGTTCAGCCAAGTGAGAAAGTGAGAGAAACATTACTGGCTTTTGGAAAGAATCCCAGATCAGAAATTCCTAATTTCAACACAAAGCTTTAACTGCCCTACATTTGCTTTCAGGAAGCTAAATAATAAGAAGCAAACCAAGATCTGAAATTTGGATTTCACTCTCTTATTGAGCAAAACCCATAATAAACCCAGGAGTGCTTAGGTGATACTCATACTAGAACGGGTCAGGTGTCTTGTCTCTGCTTCCTCCTG